CCACATTCACTGTGGGGTTCTAATTTTAATGCTGTCGCCCGCCGTCGCCTGCGTGCTCTTCCGTCGCACAAACATTTGGGACGCGCTCAAGTTGTTTAAAAATCGCGCTCTCGCTCGAGACATCCTAAATAAATCGGCTTTTTTTAAATCGATTTTCTATCAAAAAAATGCAAGGCCTCGCCTTTAAAGTGCTCTTCGTAGGGGGGGGTTGATACCGAACCGGTCGCGCTCGTTCGTGATTTTCGAAAATCGCGCTCCCGCGTGAGACATCCTCAAAATTTCGCGTTTTTTGGACTTAATAAACATTCGCGAGACAACTTCGATTTTTTTTCGACGCTTTAAACATGGTCGTATCTTCAAACATCGCGCTGTCGCTCGAGACATCCTCGAAATTTCGTCGATTTATCTTCATCAAAATCGATCAAAAATGCGCTCCCGTGCGGAGCATGAGGACAATTCTGATCATTTATGGACGATGATGCCGAGGGTCTCTATACCAATCCTATACCACATGAACGTCGTTCGAGGTGGCTCTCTTGGCTCAAAAGGGAGGTATTTTGGCCGGTATAGGATTGGTATAGGATTCGTCGGGAGCGTCAACGTTTTGATCATGTTCGTATCTTCAAAAATCGGGCTCCCGCTCGAGACATCCTCGAAATTTTGTCGATTTATCTTCATCAAAATCGATCAAAATTGCGTTCCCATGCGGAGCATTCGGAAAAATTGATCATTTATGAACGATGATGTCGAGGGTTTCTATACTAATCCTATAACAAACGAACGTCCTTCGAGGTGGCTCGTCGTTCAAAATTTGATTGTTCACGAGATGGATCCTATACCAATTCTATACCAAAATGCTCCGCTCAAGGTCGTCTTGTTTTGAAGAGAATCACGCTCCCGTGCGCAGCGTCCTGAAATTGTTGAAGAAACGCGCTCCCGAAGCATCCTGAACATTTTGAAGAACATCGCGCTCCCGTGCGGAGCATCCTGACAATTTTGGAGAAAATCGCGCTCGCGTGCGGAGCATCCTCAAAATGTCATCGTTCTTCGTTCTCAAAATCGCACCTGATTCTCGCAAACATGAAGCCGATCCCCTAGACTTCCGCCTAATCGCACCAGAGCTGCCCGCCCAATAATGGGTTGGACGAACGGAACCTTGGCGTACCGCTCTGCTGGGAGGGGGGGAAGTGGGGGTGGATAGAGGGGGGTCTCGGCGGATTTTGTTGAGTCTCTGCTGATTAGCTGCGTCTCCACACTCAAGGTTACTCGTGCGCTGCAGATAGTGTGGCAACTCGGATTTGCCAAAGGCCAAGCAGCGTGAGGAAGCTGAATTGGCAAAGCAGGCTGCGGCGGAGGTGAGCTCAAATGAAAGCACATATTAGTGGATTTTGGACATTTTGCTTCTTTAAGCCTGCTGGCCCTCCATGCAAGTGGCATAGGAAGAGGAACGCCAGAAGCTTGAAGCAGCGCTGCGCGAGAGAAAAGAGGCCGACCAGAGGAGGAAGGCAGGGGAATTGGCATGGCGCTGCATCGATGTATGTCGATGTCTGGATTCAGTCTGAGTACGCGCTTCGTCTTTAGGCCCAGGAGGAGCAGGATCGCCTTGAGCAGGAACACCAGCAACGAGAAGCGGAGCAGCGCCGCAAGGCGCACACGGTTGCTCAGCCAGCTGATGCTTGCAGAAGAAGGCAGTTTGGTCGGATTAGGCGCAGAAGGAAGCAGAGCAGAAGCTCAAGAGAGAGGAGGAGCAGCGCCAGAAGCGTGAAGCTGAGAAGCGCAAACAGGAGGAGGAAGAGGCGAAAGCTGAAAAAGAGCGGCTTCGTGAGGAGGAAGAAGCGGCTATCCGCAAGCAGGAGGACGTCACTCGGCTGCTTTTCACTGTCTCAGCCTGGACATGCCTGGAGCAAAGAGTCTCTCGACTGCCAAGGCAGCGGCCGAAGCGCAGGCTCGTGATCTTGAAAGCCTCTAGGGTAGTTTTGGTGGGTTCTGAGTTCTGAGAGGCGAAGCAAAAGGCTGCGGAAGAACGACGACGAGCAGAGGAAATGCAGGACAGCTTGGGACAGATCTTGCAGAAGCCGTGCTTTTGAGTTTGGCGATCGGTGTGGTGTGGTTATGACGGTTATGATCATCAGTGGCAAGCTGCCCGAGACGCATGATAAGAAGACCTCTTTCTTTGTGACTTCGTTCGTGCAGGAAGCTATGGCGCAACGTGAAGCTGAGAGATCTCGGCGTGGCGGAAGGGAGAGGAGATCGCAGGCAAGACGATACGAGAAGCTTCACTTTCAGAGTCAGCTTTCGTACCGAGTTGTGCGGAGGCCAA